TTTGCCACATTGGCGCCATGCATCAGCCATTTTGCCGTTGTTGGCATTGTATCGTTCTTCTCTTCTCTGCTGCTGTCTGTGTCCCACGGTGACCCCACAACTGCTGTCTGATGTCTTCAGTGTGCTTCTGTGGGTTTTTCGAAGGAGAGACAGAAGTGAGGCGTCTGGGGCACCGATAGAGCGACCAAAGACACCATTCATTCATTGCTGCAGCACAAATCCTCCGCCGATCAGCGCTATTCATATTCATATTGTTCATGCTCACAGGCAAGCACAGTAGCACTCTTTGTACCCATGAACATGTGCTTGTCAGCTTCACAGCGATATCTGCACTGAGAAAGGGAAAGAAAAAATGAGAGAGAACGGCAATGTCGCTAATACTCGCCTCCCCTCTTCAGTCAAGTTGCTATGCGCCAAAGGCAAAGCAGTCTTAGCCGGTGCTAACATTTAAACGATTTTATGAAAGAATATTCTGCGGATTAGTCACCGGAAAGACCACCAGTTTCGGTGATGAGGTGCAATACACAGACAGAGCGGATAAAGACTGCCTACATGCAGACAACTAAAGTCATTACGATCATCATAACCGCCGGTGGTGGGAGGGGACCAACGACATATTGCAGAGACAGTGCACAGTGCACACACAGACACAGAGGCGCAGACAGGAAAGAGGGAAAGAGGGAAACTGCGGCTCGACTGAGGCCATTAGCACGACCATGTTTGGCCAGTTAACGGCGACAGGACAATGCATGTTAGCTTGGCAGTAGTCATTGCGTGCGGGGTTAGGCCGTGACCGGACGAGCTCAGCAGACGTGATTGCACCCACCAGGTACAACAATGCAATAGGCGGCACACAATCGAATCTGATCAACGGCGGCGGTGGTGGTGGGAGCATCTAATCGAGGCACCTACTTTCGCCTACTTTCCCAGCCTACTGTGCTGACGACCACCACCACTTTCACCGACGCCGACTTAGACATACACGTGGTGGTGGTGGCTCTTGCGTCACAAAGCACACAAACTATCAAAGGCGGAAAAGTGGCGAGTGTCCTTTTTGAAGCCGATGTCAGCAGAGGAGACGAGGAGGAGAAGAAGACAAACAAGATGAAGGACAGAATATTTGAGTAAACAGTACTTTGGCTCGTAAATAGATAGAGGGACTGGCTTCTTCTCCTCAACCTCCTCCTCTCCTCTTTTCCTATCGACGACGTCTGGGCGCCACTGCCTGATTGTTCGATTGGGCTCGTGTGAGTGAGTGAGTGAGTGTGTGTGCGTGTGTTTTTGTCTCCCAAACACAGTGGGCAACAGTAATCGGAGTGGACTTTTACTTTGCTCACTACTATTTTGGGTAACAGAGGTACAGGTTCAACTAGTGACGGCGAGGTGCACAGATACACAGATGCACACTTTGTTTGGCTGCTCGGGCACCCAAATAGCTGCTTGAAGGCGTTGCAGTTCTAGTACTTACGAACCGTTTTTGCAATAACAGTAAACAGCTGCTTTCAATTTGCTTGGTACAATACGGTGTCTTCAGAAGTAGTTTTCAGGACACTGAATGTTCTTTGGGAAGCTAAGCTTCAGTGATTACTACTACCATTACTATTAAACTAATCAATCGCGTACGGTTTTCGACCTATTGAACACGCGCTCTCCGCGCGGGGAAGAAATGTTGTCGACAGCAGATAACTTGCTGGAGTTGCTTCACTGTGAAATCGCAGTTGCTAGGCATGGTTGGGGATGTGCAATTTCATTGAAAATCTCATTCAAACTTTTTTTTAATAAAAGGAAATGTTTTTACAAGAACTAATGACCTTAATGAAGAAGAGGATAATCTTTTAGAAGGGTTTCTCAAAGATTGTGGCTGGGAGCAGCCCTGCTGACCCATCAAATCAGCGTGAGCAGTGACTTTTCACTCTATCACCGAGCTCATCAGTGTCATCATTAGCAAAATTAAGAAGCAAATGTGGCCCGATTGGCGACTTATCGCAAGCTGAGAAGAGAGTCCAAGAGACAGCAGTGATAAGCTTACAAAAAAAGTCGTGTTTGGGCTGGTGTTCTGCGGCTGTGATGTACTGTGCTGTACTGAGCTGCTGCAGAAGAAGGAAGTCAGAGAAGGTCCAGCTGATGATGAGCACTCAAGGAAGCAGGCACTCACTGACAGCTTCTCACTGACATATTAACCCAGCACTCTTCTCTCAGCGACAGTGAAAGTGACTGCTGCAGCATCATCAACATCAGCATCATCAGCAGCAAATGCAGTACAAAGACGCGTGTCCTTTGTGTGAAGTATGAGATTGCATTGAAGTGTAATTAGTGTGTTACACCGCCAGTGAGGAAGACTGCACTAATCAACGAATCTGAATGGAGATATGGCAGCATTAGCGCATTCGATAAGACATCAGTCAGTTGTGAAAAAGCACATTTAGTACAGCCATACAATGTCAGTGAAAAGTGAAAGAGAGTGTGGGAGAGAGAAAGCAACCACTGAACGGCAGCAAAAATCTGAACACTGCTCAACCTCTGCAACTTGCAACTTGTCTCCTAGACTCGAACTCAACGTGTGGCAGCAGTCTTTCAGTGTATTGATGATGGTGATCAGTGGTTGATTGGTTGATGACAATTGCTAGTCTTTGAGAGTAAACTTTTAAACTGAAATGTTTTTGGCTCCAGTGCCTAAAATGCCTGACATGTTTGCCGTCTTCACATCACCAGTGGTGATTATTACTTTTAGCAGCATAGATGGGCCAAATAAATCAGCACGAGCATCACTGTCGGCACTATCTATTGGACAAGCAGGCAATAAGAGAGAAAGAGATATCCCTGAAAATAGCGATCTTTCAGAGAAAAGTCTCCAGATGAGGCACAAGGTCAGGCAAACTAGTGACACACACCAAGCGCGACCTCATTGATAATCAACAGCCGACATGTGACTATTGGTGGTGTCTCTCGCCACTCTGGTTGCCGCATTGATTGAACTCGACGGTCATAGTACGGAAATAGGCCAAGTAGACCAGTACTGTGTCTGTTTACTCTCTGGTGTCGTTAGGTGACGATCTGGTGTCGCCAGATGCTGACGCCAATGAAAAAAGGAGGAAGATGCCTCCAGATTAGTGCACTTGCCACTCTTCACTCTCTCTCTCTCTCTCTCTC